CCGTGCTCAGCAATATCCTGAAGTCTTCTGTCGAGGCATTCAGCTCCGGTAATAGTGGTTTGCTGCTCATCTGTTCTCAGTCTCAGTTAAAGAGAGACCAATCTTAGGTTGTTTCTTTAATGTTTTGCTCATAGCTTCGCTGCCAAGCTTTAGTACGTAGCTTTACGTAAATCTCATGTCGTCGAGACACACTTCATGGTCCGCATTAGCGAAATCGTGTAGAAGAATAGATACAATTTCCGGGTGGTGAAGCCCATATCGTAAATTGAGCCACACATACCGTGTGATTCTCTGAATAAAATCGAAACGAGGTTTCTGTGCTGCTGCCTAGAACTGAGATCTAATGAACAGCCTAAGTGAAGTGAAGTCTCGTGACTGGCAAGTGGGTTAGATTCCCAACCTCATTGCTATACAGGTGAGGATGATCTAATTGATGACTATCAAGGGCTGGCAGCTTTGCACCTTGCTCAAGCGATGTGGATAGCGGTTTGTGTGCTGCCACTAGAAGCCTGGCAAACATCGTATTTTCATAATGCCTCTGCAGAAACTTCAGGTCTTTTCCAATCTGAGAATAACCCAATACTTGTGACTTGGATGAGGTCTCTAGAGTCCTTTCTGACGAATAGATTCATAAACTGCGTATTTTCAAGGTTCTTACGACTATCAATAGAATAACATCAACACAAATAAGAGTGGTCAGAATAAGATTGGCTAATCTCAACACTGAAATGGGTAGTGACTGAAATAGAAAGCACAAAAAAAAAAAAAAAAAAAAAAAAAAAACTCCAAGAGACTCAGAAACGTGTACTGTCTTTATGTTCCTAGCCTTGTGTGTTTGGTTCTGTCAGTTCAGTCACTCAAGCAGCTTCACGGTGGCAGCCGAGGTGCGGTTGACTTTGCTCAACAACATTCAACGAACAACATATCCACTTTTTTTTGGTATTGGATCAACGCGCACAACTCTTCCTCTACAGACTTACTTGTGGCCTTAGTTGGGGGCACACGTTACAATGACGGGTTTTGTCAGCCGAGTATTCACCCCCTATTCTGGTCCAGTGACACTACCAGAAGCACATCTAAATCTCTGGGTAGGTTGAGTCCATTTCCTGAATCAGATTGAAACCAAGACTCTCCCTCGAGGCTTTTGGGATGTATCTGCCACGATCATATCTCCAATGAGAAAAGATGGAAGTTAGAGGCAAAGGCAGATAGATGTGTATTCTTTCGTGATTTCAATTCTTCTGGACAATTTTTCGAGTTGGAATGTGGTGTTTGATGAACGTGAGAGGCATGTGCCCTTTGATTCAGTATTGTTTGAGTTTTTTCAGCATTGCAGAAAGTTTCCTTACGTAATGGTAGCCTGAGGACTACAGAAGGCATGGCCAACTCTGGTGAAACAGTCGCTAACAGCAAAGGAAGTCCAGTAATTAGCTCGCACTTCAACAAAGAAACAAGCTTATGCCCACCTGCATGCAACTCAAATCCACCTCTGCAACCAGCAGACCACTTGACTATGCATCACAACATGCAGCTCAGGATTTCCACACGACAGCTTTAGTAGTCCACCCACACACAGTTCCAGCTGATACTGCAGCTGCGACTATTAGAAGGCGAGTTACTATTCAACGCAGCTTCTACAGCTGTATCCATGAACTCGGCTTCCTATGTCCACCATGGCGTCTGCAAGGGTCGAATTCTCAGCGACAGTTGCTCCGTGGAATCCGTCGTCGATGCCTCAGTATGCAACAAATAGCAACATGGACTGAAGCAAGGCTCACGTGTTGCTAGTGGCGACCACCGAAAGCAGGCCCCCCTGAAGCTCTCCCCGCAATCGAACCAATCTGAGCCGTTAGTGTCGGTGACAAATAAAGGAGGCTCAAACCCCGAGAGCTGGAATGGGGATTTCGCCGTGCTGTGAATATACGGCAATTGGGTGTTTGACTAGCGTATTGAATAATGTTGTTGCGTTTCAGATCATGTTCTTTGTGTGTTCATGTTTTTTAATCCAGTTAGGGTAACTTATTACACTGCTAGGGTGCATTAATAAAGCATTGTTGAGGTTTCACAGATGGGGTTTGAATTTCTCAACAACTTTGGTACTGTTTTGCTCTTCTGGATGCAATTCTATCATTCTCATTAGTTTCTAGATCTTGTTCTCTATTCGGTGTTTCAATATAACGTTGCTGTTAATGGTTCTTGTTATGCCCATTCTGAGTGGATTATTAGTATTTCAGTCTGGAGCTGTTCCGAATTCTTTTTAATCGGATCATGGTTCTTTCCCTAGGTATTTGGGTTTTGTGATTGTAGATATTTTTAAGGTAATTGTGTGAAGCTTTGGTTTGGCTCTTTTTCATTTGAATGTGTGTGGTGCAATAAGTTGGTAAAGTTCAATAAAGATTAAAATGAAAATTCTACATGTGAGTGTGTGTATATGTAAAAAAATTTGTGAAAAAGATTAGAAAGTCAATCCATGTCTAATATTGGGTAGATGAAAGAGGCTATAAAGTGAGGCAGGAGAGCAATTGTCATGGGAGCAGGCTGCCTTCGCAGTTGGATACCTTGCCCGTTGATGAAATCTTCCAGATGGGTAGGATGGAGCGGGGAATCATAGGTATCTCCAGATCAGGTGTAAGACGGTGACATGGCAAGCACCCGAGCTCAATTCACGGCTCAAAAACACGAGGGGGATTCGTTGTAGCTGGAATAGCTCAGTTGGTTAGAGCGTGTGGCTATTAACCTTTAGGTCGGAGGTTCAACCCCTCCTACTAGCGCTGTGGAAATACCATCTTCCATTCCTCATATTTTGAAAACCCGCAATATCGCAGCAAATCCAATTTGTTTAGAGGAATTGCTTTTTGTCAATCTGTATTTGGTTTGTTCCTTGCTGAATATTATTATCATTATTGCTGAATATTATTATCATTATTGCAAGGTTGAATGTGGATAAGGGGACGTTTTTATGTGCATGATGCATGTGTTGTGTTTGGTTGTGGAACTCTTTCTCCATTGTAGATGGAATGGGTGTTTAGTATGTGATTATGTTCTAGTGTACTCACTCTTTGTTCTAACTGTGGATCAATTCATATCATTGTTATTCAAATTTTTGTGTAGGAACATGTATAGATTATGGCAAGCAATGTAGTTTTGAAATCATACAATATCATTTTCAAACACTAGTTGTTTTCTTGGGCTATTATTACTTTAATTCCTTTTAATAACTTTGAGCTATTCCTATTGTCTTTGGGCTATGGACTATCAAATTTGGTGGAGGTATTCAAAACTATAAGCAAGAAAAGTATCAAATTGGATTTGCCCATATTCTTTAAAGAAATATGTAAATTTTGTTTTTCAATGTTCTTTAATTCTAGCTTGAAGTGGAAAAGCTAATTCTTTGTGGCATTGCCCAAGGTGCATTCTTCATCTTATTTGTTTTTGCAATGTTGAATTATCATATCTCGTGGTGATATTAAAAGTAAAATATTGTTTTAGCTTTGTTGATTTTAAAGTTTTTATTTTGTTTTGTTGTTTCACTTTCAATTGAGAGTGTTTTCTCTTGAGGCCTTTAAATATTTAGTTTTGATATTCCATTTATCTCAACAAAAAAAAAAAAAAAAAAAAAAAAAAAAAACCTCTTTACTTGTTCATAATATCTATTTTAAAAATATATTGTATATATAGTGGGGTTTGAATAAATCCAATTTTTATTTTTTCGATGTGTCAAGTACCTAAACTTTTAAGGAATGTAGAAGAACAAGAGTACATATTAAAGTTGAAGTCTATAAATCTTTTCTGTTAGATTCTATACATTTGTATATGTTCAGCGATATATGTGTGTACACAACTGATTCAAGACAATGCACACATGTGAATATATATATATATATATATATATACACACACATTCATACACACAAATGAATTTAAAAAAGAATGTGAAAAATTTATAAATATGTTTGATCAAACATAAATTTGTTAATGACAAATTTAATTAAATCAAAAAATTTAATTTATCTTTGACATTTTCAATCTACTACTTGAGATTTTAAATTGTAGTATTCATTTTTATCATTAAAAAATATAACTGTGTTAAGTTAGTGATATGTGAATGAAATGAGTAACGTAAAAAATATTGAATTAGGTTGTGATATGTATTTATTCATATTACTGGTCTTGCATAAAAATCAAAATTATGGTAATTAAAAGTTTTTTAAAGTCTATTTGCCACAATCATTTGTATAAATGTAAATTATTTCTCTTTCAATGAAAACATTGGAATGTAGAGGAAGAGTCGTCTTTCATAAAATTTAGTATGATTTTTCTGTAGTTTAAATCATTAAAACATCAAAATTTAATTATGCATGTTAGATCAAATAGAGTTTTGTTTGTAGGTACAATTTTTGAAAAATACTGTGATCTTTTATTTCTTAAAAAAAAAAAAAAAAAAAAAAAAAAAAACACTGGATTTTAAATATTAGATTCTTAGAGATAAATATGAAATGTGGTTAGAAAAATAAAATTCTATATCTGCTATAGTTTCATTTATCACCGTTTAATATATCAAATTTTATTCATTAAAAGTGAGAGAATTTAATCATCTAATGGCTTTTTTGAGATAAATCACAATTTAAGTTTCAACTCCAAAAGCTCAACTGTAACATAATAAAAAAATAGTACATGAAAAGGTGTGCTTTGTAAACTATTTGAAATTATCACAGTGATTTTTTTGAGGAACAAAATTTACGAATTGTCATACCCAATTTTTCTGTTGTGGAAATAAAAATAATACTTTATATGGTAATTAGAAACATTTCAAAAAAAAAGATCTTTGATTTTATCTTCTGTTGCCATGCTTAATGTTTTAATATATATATATATATATATATATATGTGTGTGTGTGTATGTGTGTATATACTATTTTTTCAAAATGGAAAATAAATTTTATTTAAGATGGATACAATCAAATGCAATGTCTGTATAATTTAGACATGAAATCTCCCAACACAATACTTAGTTCTTGTAAAGATCTCAACAGTTTTTATTAATAATATTAATAATATATTCACAATTTTTTTTGAAAATAGTGTGTTCAACGAGGCTGAGAAAATAAGCAATCTCATTTTGCAATAATTAAAAGTGTGAATTTAAGACACACCTCAACTCTATTCAAAGCGTTTTACACTAGCATTCAATTCATTCTACACACTCAACTAAACCCCAATAATAACTTCAAAACAATCTTCAATGAAAAAATCATACCTACAATTTATTATTTGAAGTGGGACTTTTCAAAGAGTTTATTTTTTAGAAAGAAAGAATACAACATTTTGGTTTCAATAGTTGAAATCTTTACTAAATGGAGAAAAGACCTATTTTTCAACGGGCTACAACTCCATATAGTTTTGAAGAGAATATTGTGGAAAAAAGAAGTTGCACAAATCCAAGGAAAAGAAGTTTGCTAATTAAGAATGAGAATAATCAAAAACCATGTGCCCAAAAGAAAGTGGATCTACTTGTGTTTGAAAATCATAACGCAACGCAAGTTGCCATTGATATTGATAAAGAAGTGGCTGATAGACAAATGTTACAAGCTTTTGAATCTAGATTAAAAGGAACTTCGCGTGATAAGGAATCGTTGCTAGAAGAATGCAATACTTTAAGAGAAGCATTGGCCGACCAGCACTACCATTTACAACTTCATAAAATTCACCATGAAACGCTTCATCTTAAACAAGAGTATTTTACTTGATTTCATTTTTATTTCTATTTTTATTTTACATATTTATGTCTTAAAAAATAAAAATAAATTAATAAATTGTAAAAAATATGTAAATGAAATTTATATTCCTGCTAAATGATGCACTAATTCAAACTCATGGAATAAATAATAAACATTGCTAAAATTGTGCAACTCAACTAATTCTGTTTCATTTGAAAAAAAAAATGTTTTTTGATAAATTGTGAGATTTATTTTATCTATTTATGAAGAAATATTAAATTTGTTTTGTATTTAGGAAGATGGAAGTAATAATAAAAGATTTAGAAATCGCTCATGGATTAAAAGCCCCTCGAACAGGAGATCCATCTCATTTGAAAGCTAGACTTTTAGGTTAGATTTTGATTATATTATTAAATAATTTATTTTTGCATCAAATATTTGAAATATTTGTAAGATAATTAAAGTTTTGCACATAAATTAAATTTCTAATTTATCTCTATTGATCTATCACACGAACTTAAGATCATTATATAAATATATACACATATAATTAAAAACGTTCCAAAATAATATAACAATAATTGATTTCATATTATGCTCAAAATATCAAGTAAAAGTCTAATGAATGATGATTATTATTTTTTATGCTAAAAATAAAAATAAATATTAACAACAATGTTTTTCATATTTGAAGATTTGAATGGAATATTTTAGGTGTTCATTTTATTTTTATTTTTATTTTTGTTTTAATCTATTGACATTTTAATGTTATTCATTTTTAAATTAGTTTAACCAGGATTAAAGTATAGAAAGCAAGTATACTTTGCAACATTGACAATTTTACAAGATGACCTTAATGCATTAAAAAAAGATGGTCAAGTATCTCTTACACAAGTAAGATATATGCATACTTTTTTTTTAATATATTAATATTCTTATAAAATAATATTGAAATATGATCTATTATTTGGTATAATAAATAAAATAAAAATACATTAGTATGCATGATGACTTTTGTGTTTTTATGCTTTTATCAACAACTAGAAATCTATGTAACTTCACATATAAAATTTAAAATTTAAATTAAAGCATTAAAAATATAGGAAGCTATTGCAGAAAGAGATGTGTTTGCAAGTGAAACAAGGAGATTGCAAAAAATAATCCGTCAGTTGCGGATTCATTATCATAAAATTTGTGAAGAAAACAAAGAGATTGCATATCTTTGCAAACAAATGGATATTCTGATCAACTCAATTAATGATGCAAAAAGAAATACTGTTGTAAGTTCAAATGAAACGTTTGTTTGAGTATGAGTGATTTGTTATATTGTACACTTATGATTAAGAATTTAGAAATATTTAATATTTAATTGAAAAGATTATCCTGAGTATATTTTATATACTTATTTAAGATCGACAATTAATGTTGATTTTTTAGAAGTGTAAACATTTTACTTAATCTTTTGTTTACGGATACAGTTAAATGTATTACGTAACGGTTTGATTAAATTTTCTTGAATTAGGATAAAACCTTTAGCATCGGACAAATGAAAAACGATATTGCAAAAACAAAATCTGATGCTTCAGAAGCCCATCGGAGTACGGAACTTGCACTATCGAAAATGAAGGATCTCGAGAATCATAATAATGTGTTGAAGAACATGCTTGTTCGTGAAAGAGACGAAACAAGCCGTATTCGAAAGCAGCATATGGTGATTACTGAACGAATTCGAAACATTCGGAAAGAAAACGCTGAAAAACTTTTGAAAGCAGCAGCGTCTGCAGGTATGTCGGCGGCGAATGCATCTAAAAAAGCTGGTAAAGGTGGTAAGAAAGGCCAGTCAAAAGGCAAATACGATAGCCTCTCCGACTCGGATGTTTCTACTTCTTCATCACTATCTCCATCCTCTAAAATGTTTGGTTCTTATGCGTCAACGTTACCTTCATCACCAACTAGTCCAACTTCAACATCAAGTGGTACTGGATTAAATAATGAGATAAATCGAATTCGTGAGAATTACCTCAAATCAGTCGAAACTGCAGCAAATATTTTTGTTGAAACAGCGCCTGGATCTGAATCACTGAAAGGAAAACCTCATGAAGCATTTAGATCTGTAGATGATGACCACTCAAATTATGAACGGGTTACTGAAAGCTTCCAAAAAGACGTAAGCGAAGCAGAAGACACGTTTTTGGCTATGATGGAGAAGATGGAGTATGGTACAGTGCGATCTAGGAATAAGAGTGCCGCAAGAGGTAATTCAGAGGAAGATACACTGCGAAATTCACAACCTGATATTAAAAAATGGTTGGAAAACTTGACAATTGAAATTGATAATAAGACTCTCAATACGAGCGACTATGTTGTTGACTGCAAAGGTTTAAAGACAAACGTGAAAATTAAAAGTCATGATAACTCTCCTGAAGCAATCGCAAGAAAGAAGGCTGAAAAGGAAGCGCAGAGACAGCAAGAGCTTGAAAACGAAGCACAAAGACAGAAACTCGTAGAAGAATTAGAAGCAGCGAAAAGGAAAGCAACCGAAGAGACTGAAGCTAGACGGAAAGCAGAAGAAGAAGTAGAGGATGCCAAAAAGAAGGCAGCTGAAGAAGAAGTGACCAAGAGAAAACTGGCAGAGGAAGAAACTACAAGAAGACAAATTGCCGACGAAGAAGCCGCCAGGGAGAAGGCTGTAGAGGAAGAAGCACGAAGGCAAAAAATAATAGAGGAAGAAACACGAAGGCTAAAAATGATAGAGGAAGAGGAAGTACGAAGGAGGAAAGCGATAGCGGAGGAAGAAGCGCGAAGGAAGAAAGCGATAGAGGAGGAGGAAGCGGTGAGAAGGAAGAGGATGATCGAGGAGGAAGAAGCAGCGGCGGCGAAGAGGAAGGCGGCGATGGAGGATGGGGAGAGTGGAGGAGCAGGAAGAGGAAGAGGAGGAAGAGGAGGAAGCAGCGGCGAGGGAGAGTTCTTCAACGAGGAAATGAAGACGGACATAAAGCATGAGATTCGAGATGTGCTGTTGCACTTGGAGACGATCTCTGACACCATCAACGAGAAAGCAGCAGCATCGAGCTCCTCCTCCCCTCCTCCCCCTCCTCAAGATCCCCAGGAGGATGCGGAGGAGGAGGATGAATGATGATGAATGATGATGAATAATGATGAATGATGATGAATGATGATGCTCTTTCGTGGCACCGCTGTTCGTTGATTTCACGCCTGGTTTGACGCCTTGTCTGAAGCTTGACTCTGAAACTTGGTTTGACGCTTACGATTTTCATGCCGTACATTCACCTTTCAAGTCATTGTCTAGTTTTTCTTGTACACTTATTTTAATTTTAATTTTTAAAATTATGTTTCTGATCTTTCTTATTTTTTAAAAAATAATTTATTTTTCGAAATTTTATTGAATGATTCAGTTTTTTTCATTTTTTACTTTTCTTTTTCTTTTTATTCTTTGTGATTATAAATGTGAAATAGTTTTTAATGTAAAAGAAGCAACCAAAATTTTCATCACTTCCAATGTGATGTGGTTTGAATTTTTGAAGTTTCATTATCTCAAATTTAAAGCTTAAAATTATTTAATTGATTTATGATATGACTAATTAAAATTTGAATAGTAATTTTTTTTATTATACAAGGATTAACAAAAATATTTTTTTAATATTTTTAAATTTTATTTAAATTAATACATATAAAAATAAAATTAATTTCTTAACATTTATTTTGGCTTAAAAAGTATTCATCAACTAGTATGTTATAGGATTTTTTTAATTTTTAAATAGAACCATATTTTTCCAATATTGCAGTTTGATATGAATCTTATGAACCAATCATGATGCTTTGTTATATATGATATCATATATATGTATATATATATATATATATATATATATATTAAAAAACTATATATTAAAAACTATATATTAAAAAACTATCTATATATATATATATATATATATTAAAAAACTAATTAATTAATTATGCATATTTTAAAATATTAAAAATATATGATATTTATTTTTAATGAATTTATTGATATTTTACATTTATATGGAGTGGAATGTGTTTTTTCCATTGTTGGCATAAATAGTACAATTTACTAGATTTGCTTTAGGTCTCTTCTCAAGACAAGGCTTTACAAAAACATTTAAAAATTGTGCCAAGGTTGCAAATAATATTCAATGAATATAAAAATATTAAAATTTTCTATATTCTTATAATCATATTTATTTCTCGTATTTATAATTTAAAAAATAAAATAAGGAATAAAAATAAAAGTTGGTTCATAAATTGGCCTTTTTTTACTTTAAATTAACTCTAAAAATTAAGACTTCTAATCTCTCTCTCTCTCTCTCTCTCTCTCTCTCTATATATATATATATATATACCAATGGTTTAAAAAAGTAACTTTTATTTACCAATGGTCTTAAGGACCATATAAGAACTTCATTTTACTTAATAATGACTTTTCATAAGCAGCTTCTAAGTTAATAAAACCATGAATTTTTAATAGTCACATTATATATATATATATATATTTATATATATATTTAATGTATATATATATAAAAAATAAATTAATAAATAAATATATTATTAAAATTATTCCTACAAAGAATTTTATATAACACATCTAATAAGTTTTTATTTTTAATATATTCACATTTTAATAAAGACATAAAAAAGAATATAATTTTTTTACAATTATTATCTGTTAAGAGATTAGTTTTGTATTACCATCTTGAAATGTATTATGATGGCGTTTCTGGTCTGATAAAATAAAAAATATAACAACCTCATTTCTTATTGCTAATTAGCATTTTAGATACAATAATACTAACATCCATAGGTTGGAGTTTTTATGTTGTATTGGTAAAAAGCATCAATATGTTAGGATTTGTCTACTCTAAATCCTCTTTGGTATATGATGGAATACTATCCAATAGAAGCAACACTTTTATGTAAGACATTTTTATATGATTGTAAAATTTTTGTAAATATTTTTATAATAAAATTCAAATCATCTAAGCTTTTTGATATTTGGATAATAAAATCTAAGTTGGTTACTACTTTTTTAATAAAACACTTGCAATTTTGCAACATGTTTAATGATAAAAAACTTTCTTTAATCAAAACTATGTACATTGGTAGTAAAACTAATTGTGATCTTGGTTTTATTCTTCTATAAAATCTTCAATTTTGTATTTGGTAATAATTTTGTCAAGTGCTATGCTCATAAAGAAACTAGTTTTTTCTATATTTTATACATTCTAAGATTTATATTATATTATTCATACTTGTAGGATAAGAACCTCAAGTTCAATGGTTGCACTATTAGAAAATTTATTTTTATAATGTACCTTTGTCCTTTTGAATCTATAATGACTTTAGAACTTAGATAGCCAACCCTTAAAAAATTCAAGGGCTTTGTCAATATCCAACTAATTTATAAAATTTTGTATTTTTATTTATTTATTTATTTATTTTACTTTTATTTGATCAAAGTACTTGAAAAAACTACTTTGTAAGTTTGACATTGAAGCACCTAGTTTGTAAGAGCAATGTCCAATTTGAAAAAAGTAGTTGCACAACTTTATTTTTCTACTAGCTTAATATGTTCCATATTCTTGTATTTGCTTCTCTTCTTTAAAATATTGACAACAATGACTTAAAATAAAACTATATATAAGCTAAATAATTACTTTGTCCATTTGGCCAAGTCTTTTTGTAAGATTTTAGGATGAGATAGTTTGTATTCATATAGATGTAGTTGTTGCTTGTTGGTTAAATTTTCTATAAAGATATGTGGCATTGCTAAGAACTTAATATCAGAAATTTATAAATTAGAGTGACATGCATTAGAATAAAAGAAAGAAAAAGAGACAGGAGTTGAAAGAAGAAAGTACTATCAAAGTAAGAATGCTTAGAAGTGGAAAGAAATTGTATATTAAGAGGGCAAAGAGAAGTTGTGCTTTGAAAAGAAGTTGTGTGTTAGGAAGGAGGAGAAAAGATATACATCAATTAGCAAAATCTCTCTCTATTCTAATATCTAATATCTTCTATTAATTAATATTTTTTATAATAGATTATGTTAATTAATTAAGATTTAATTATACATATATAAGTTTATATATATATATATATATATATATATATATACTTAAATATAATCTTATATATATTATTTATAATTTAATATTAAGTTTATCATTTGTATAAATATGATGTGATATATTTTTATAATGATATATTTATAGTCTAAATTATCTTAATACAATATGTATTTTAAGTATTTTTAAATAATGAATGATTATTAATTTTTAAATTTACTCTTATATATATTATTATATTATAATATATAAATATAGGAAGTTGTTAAAGCCATATCCCAATATTATTGAAGCCACATTCTTTAAACCATGTGATGATTAATTTTGGAGGACAAAGAATAAAAGATGGAAGTAGTGAATGAAACATGAAGGTTAGAAGAGAGAGATGGGAGATATGGAATAAGAGATAGAGACAGGGATAGCTAGAATCAATCATGAGATGGTAATGTGGGATGTGGCTTTAATAGCTTTTATATATTATAATAAATAATATATAAAATATTAATTTATTTTTTATGGTAGTTAAATTAATTTTTGTATAAGTTCAATCATGTAGAATTTTTGATGTAATAAATTAGAATTATGCAATAAACATCACTAAAAAAATAAAACATATTTTAAGAATTTCTTATTTTTTTGACTTTGAAACTTTAGATAATATTGTCAAGGACAAGAACTCGATGAAAAAATAATTCAAACAAGTGAGCCTTCATTCAAAGAGAGGTAACAAAATATATATAAACAAGGATATATATTGAAAGAGAAACTGGAATGGCTATTGCCAAAAGATAAGAAAACTAGAGACCCTTGAAACTAGACTAGAAGCAAGAAAGGAGTTGACAAGAGTGAAGAAGCCTTCACTCTTGTCTCTATATATACTATCTAACTAGGGGCTACGTGGCGACGTTCTATAGGACCTCCAATATGTGTTGACTTTGTAGGACACATGCCTTGACTTACAAGGCAAGTTCTTCTACGTTCTTCCACATAATTAGCTTGATCTTCAAGCTAACAACATGTGTGGCACATGGCCAACTTGTTGACCACGTTTCTAATCCAAAAAGTCAATTAAAGATACCTATGAAGTCAAAGCAGCATCTATGAAGCTTCCATATTAAATATTATAGAATTTACTTATTTCTACCTTATTTGTATATGTAATTACTAACTTACATGATTATGTCCGTAACATTATCCCCTCTTCTAGGGACGAGTTCCATGAGGAGTGGTCATCATATGTCGAGGAAATTTATGATGCGACATATTGTATTCGCCACATACTCTGATCTTTGTTTTCTTCGAAGATGATTGATAGGGCCTCTCAACCATCAGTAGTGTCCCATACTAGGGCGGGAAGACCACCCAGTTATTTGATCATTGTTGAGGCCTTCGTAACTTCCTTCGAATAGAATATTTGGAACACCATTAGGAGTTGTTCCTACCTCTAGCACAATCACCAAATATCCGGAGTCCCATCCCAAATTGTGATACCAAACGCGTTGTATCTCGCCATCTATTCGAGGAAGAACATGTCATTCTTGAAGATCTTCATCTCGATTGCATCATCTTGAAGGTTGTGACAATTGTAATGTCTCGTCTGACAGGTCAACAAATGAAGGCTCTTGAGTCGAATCCACTGGTTGTTGGTTCTCCATCTTCTGAGCATCACTACTACAAAGAAGATACGAACAAGAATTGAAAGTAGAATGTTATCTTGCCTAGATGTTGTTTCTTTTATAAAGAAGGTTTTCATCTTAATTTTGATGGATGTCATCAATGAAAAGCCTCCACTGCCTTTGCTGCATTTACAAGATTCTTTATTGGCTCCCATGTGCATTCACTAATACCATATCCGCGCCAATGGACAAGATATTCTAATTTATTTCGGCGCCGCCTTGAATCTAAGACTTCTTCTACTTCAAACTCTTCATTATTGTCCACTTCTATAGGATGAGGTGGAACTTGTCATCTTCTTGATATGTCCACTATCTTGTATGGTTCAAGAAGAGACATGTGGAATATTGGATGGATTTTCATTCACTCCAATAGATGTAAACGATATGCAACTGGATTGATTTGTACAGAAATAGAAAATGGTCCCAGCCTTCGATAGTCCAACTTGTCACAAGGACGAGTGGTCTTGATATTGCGATGAAGTAGCCATATCTTATCACCCAAGATGAATGATGGTTATTCCTTTCGATAGACATCCGCATTGACCTTTTGTTGTTCTTGAGCCTCTTTTAACTGCGCCTTCATCGTTGTATGTAGCTCTGATAAATGAATTGCCAAATCTTTCGTAGCAGGATTATCAACTTTTGAAAAGTCAGAAATATCAAGTCATGGATAATAACCATAATTAGCAAAGAAAGGTGTTTGTTTTGTAGAAGAATGTATCATGTTATTGTAAGCAAACTCTGCCAATGGTAAAAGAGTTGTTCAATCATCT